CTGAGCTTCAGAAAATAAGGCATACATCTAGGCTGATTAAAAATATATGAAATATATTAAAAATAATTATTTCTGGACTTAAAACTATTAATATCGACTTGAGAAAAGTTTTATTAAAACTATTTAATTGCCAATATAATGTAATTTTCTCAAAAATTAAAATTACGTTGCCTACATTCAGGATGAAATAATAATTATTTTTTATTTTAAAGAATTTACATGTAAAGAGTTATGAAATATTAATTTGAATAAAAAATAAAGTGAAATTTTCTAATTGCAATCGCCCTTCGACAGGGTATGTACACCCCTCCGTGTGTATTTCTGACATGAAATAAAATTTCTCATGAAAAAACCATCAGCCGTTCGTAAGCGACTTATTATAAATTGTAGGTCCCTCCATTTTTTGGAAAAAACATCAAGACGCAAAATCACAAATTGGAGGAGGAGCACAGCCGAAAAATCGCTTGAGCGGTTACAAATATATATGTATTACTTTTAATATTTTTTTTATTCGTTTTATTTTAATATGTTTATTTAATGATCATTTAATTTCTTTTTTCCAGTTTTGTTTTTAAATTATATTCTTTATTTTTTTATTTTGCTTTTTTTAATTTGATTCATTTTACTTTATTTACGTTATTTTATTTTTATTTTCTTAACTAAAATTATTTAATGTGATATTCCATTATTATATTTAATTTAATTTTAATCTTATCTGTTTGATCTTAGTTTGCTTATTTTTTATTATTTTTTATATTTTTTTTGTATATTGATTTATTTTGTTCCACTTTATACTTTTTTCTTTATACTAGAGTTTCATCTATTCTAATATATATTCAATCCAAGACTTAATTTTCCCAATATTTGCTATCAACACTTTTTGCTCCACATATAACCAATCGATGCACCACAATCAGCTCATTCAATTTTGTATCCTTTCACTACTTCCTTGCCTCACTCCATGTTATTTGAATGGTATTAATTTTTTCCACAACTCAACCAACCGCATAACCTTTTTATCCAGTGTCTTCCACTTATTTTTTACTCTATTTCACCTTCATTTCAATTAAACCAAAAAAGGAGCAAAAGAAAGTACTCAGTAGTAGCTGCTTTTGGAGCATATACGCTCGAGTGCTAACAGAAGTGTGCCTCTTTTGCTACTTTTTATTTGCAACATTTTCAACAATTTATTATTCTTTTTTCTCTTAACATGATTGGTCGGCTGATTTCTCGATTTTCGTTGCATTGCCGTTGTTTTGTGCTCCCATTTTTTTTTTGTGTGTTTACGTTTTGTCCTTTTCACCTGTTTTTTCTCGTTTTTTTTGCCTCTCATAAATAATGCACAAAGCGCTTGTGTTGTAATATATTTACTAATACATTGAATGAGTAGATGTTAATATAGTCAGTCGTAGTGTGGCATCCTCTTGCTCTTGATTATCCTGTTCATTTATTTAACGTTACATTAACACTCATTCTCCCCACTCGATTTGCACATCATATTATTGTCTCGTTACCTTTTTCGGCTCCTATAAGTCTCCCGTCTACGTGAAATGCCTACTGGAGTTGGCGTTCAACCTACATACCACCTTTGGGTTGTACGAGGCGATGTTGTAATGCTTTTATGTGTCATATTACCATCTCTTTTTCGTGTTTCTAAATACAATACATATGTATTATATGTAATAGGGTCACAGCAATAATATGAAAAATTGATAAGGTAGTGTAAAGCATATTTATGTATTTTGCCAGACAGGCTTCGATTAGATATCCAACGACTGAAAAGTTGGAAAATATGGTTGATTTTCTGATTTAGTAAGATTTTATACGGTTCCATTTCTTATGATTCTCACATTATTTAAGGTTCTTAAAAATTAAATATTATTATATATTATATATTTTATAGAACGTTTTCCGTTTTGGAACTACGAGTGTACTGAATAACCACCAAATCATGAGTAAAAAAGTCTTGATTTCGGAGGGTGTTCTACTGATTAATTAATGCTATCCATGAATCAATCCATTTTTCCAATTCTTCGAAGGATTGAAAATGTTGATCTGCCAGGCCGTGTGCCATCGAACGGAATAGGTGGAAGTCAGAAGGGGCGACATCTGGGGAATACGGCGGGTGGGGCAAGACTTCCCATTTCAGCGTTTACAGGTACTTTTTGACCACTTTTGCGACGTGAGGCTGAGCATTATCGTGTTGGAGGATGACTTTGTCATGTCGTTCTTGATATTGTGGCCGCTTTTCTTATTAGGCCCAGGTCCTTGAGACGTTTTGAAATGGCTTGCTGACTCACTCCCAACGATTCGGCAAGCTGTTCTTGGGTTTGGCGCGAATCTTCATCAAGCAATGCTTCTAGTTGTTCATCTTTTAAGGTTTCTTTCTCTTCCACCACCATGTTTGTCTTCGACATCGAAATCACCATTTTTAAAACGTTGAAACCACTCCCGGCACGTTCTTTCACTCAGAGCAGCATCACCGTAAGTTTCTGAGAGCATTCAATGTGCTTCAGCTGCATTTTTTTGTTTCGAATCGTAACAGAAAAGTAAAACTTCCCGCAAATGGCGAGAATTAGGCACATAAACGCACATTTTCTAGCGTGAATAATATGAAAACAAGAACAACTGTCACTGAAACGGCGCTGACAATTCGTTAGGCACTGTCACACTCACTTTAAAGGCATTATCATCTATGTATTTCACCAAGCCTCAGCCGGTACAGCCACCTATCGGAAAACGGCGGAAGCAAAGTTGTACACTTGATAAAAAGAAGCACACTTAAATTAGTGCAATGCCATGATGTTTCTTGCCAGTCTAGATATTGTTGAACGACTGTATATAGTACAGTAGATGTACACTAGCTTAACGGTTATACTTAAGTTGTAGGTGCTCTGTGTGTGTGTGCTTAGATGTTCTTTTCTGTTTTCGCTTTACTCTTTATTTTTTTGAGTCAACATCATCTGTTTTAAGTGTTTTGTCGTCCTTCCTTTGACGCTTCGCTGCCGCCAACATTCGTTGTTGACGTCAATTGAATGGCAAACCTGGGAATTTCGCTTGTTTTTTTCGCTTAGCATATGCTGCGCGCAGCGAAATATGAAAGAAGAAAGCAAAAAAAAAACATCAATTTAAATGTTCTTTATTTAAAAAAAATATGCTGTGTTAATTTATATTTACTGAAAGTGTTGGCATTCTTTAAAAATAAGAAACTTTTTATGTTTTCAAAATATTTAATAATTAGTCTCCAGTGGACACTTGTAAAACTTAATAGAAATTATTTATAATTTTTTCGTATAAAATTTCCCGTAATTTTACTCAAATTTTTTTTAGCTTATAATTAAATGTACATATCCATATGGAAAGAGTGCTATCGAGTAGGGCGTGGCTGTGCAAAACTTATGTAAAATTAATATTTTGTTTCAGCTTGGTTTTGCCATAATTTTTTCACCTTGTTTTCATGTTGAAACAGTTTTTGTTTGTTTCGGAAAATTATTCGAATGAATTATATATTAAATATTATATGTACATTGCATAGAAATTTGTAAAAAATTACCATGAAAATGTGAAACGTTACTTGGTTTTGCTTGAATAAACATATTTTTCGGGGTACACGAAACAGCGAATGAGCTCTTATTTCTCACTTTCTTCTGCGAACTGTCGTGCACTCGCTAAACGGAAGCGCTCTATTTTCTACGCATACTCGCTCTCTTGCCTCTCATGTGCTCAATTCTTCTTTTATTTACTACTTTTCCTACCCTCTTTGTCGCGGAAGAGTAACCAGATGATTTGCTCAGAAAACAAGCTCACATTAAACTTTTGTAACTCAATTGCTTCTTTTTAACTGCCTCTTCATCGTTTCTAATGCTTTTGATTCATTTTTTATCTCTCTCTCCTGTATTTCTCTCTCACTATTTTTTCACCCTCTCTCTCATGTATTTCTCTCTCATTGTTTTTTCAATCTCTCTCTCTCTCTCTTTCTCGTGTTCTACCCCTTCTTAATCTCATATTTCTCGTATCCCATCACATGTTTACCTTATTTTTATTTACTTTTTACTCATTTCCAGCTTTTGTTGTCTAAATTAACGGTCGGCAGGATAGCATCTGTTTTTGCTTGTCCGTTAGTTTTTACATGTGTTTTTACTTATACTTTAGCCTCGTTTTTTCTGGCATTTTTTGTAGTGTCGCATGCCACCAAGGTGTAACTGTTGTGATGTTTCTTTATAAATTTGATGCTTTTTAATTTATTTGTGGGTTCTCGTTCATGCCACTTGGCGTATGAGTAATTTTTTTTTTGCGTGCGAAGAGAATAAAACCAAATACAATGAAATAAAAATTAATTAAATAAATAAATGTAAAAAAAATAAATCAAAATGAAATAAAATAAGAAAATTGAAATAAAATAAAGGAAAATAAAACAAAAAATACAATAAAATTAAATAATATAAAATAAAACGAAGAAAAATAAAATAAATAAATAAAGAAAATAAATATAGTAAATAATAAAAAATATAATATATAATAATAAAATAAAATTAAATTAAATAAGATTAAAAAAATAAAATTAAAATAAAATAAAACGAAATTAATTTATACAAAAAAAAAAATGAAATTTATTCAATATAATCTAAAATAATATAATTTTGTTAAATAAAATGAAATAAAAAACAATAATGTAAAATAAAACAAAATAAAACAAAGCAGGAAAATTAAAATAAGCAAAATAAAATGTAAAACAAAATAAAAGAATAAAACAAAATAGTACCAAGAAAAATATAAATTTTAATTATAATAAAAGTATAATAAAAAATAAATTAAAAAAAAAAAACAAATTTGAAACATTAATTGTTACTAAACCAAATTATAATCTTATTAAATGAAATTAAATAAAATCAATTCAAATTAAAAGTATACAATAAAAAAACTAAAATAATAACAATAAAAAAAAATATGAAGTAAAACGAAATGAAATGTAATAAAAAAAAATAAATACAAAAAAAAAAAAAAACAAATTAAAAAAATTAATTGTAATTAAATTAAAATGAACTATAGTAACTTTTTGAAGAGTTCGCAATTCGTCTATCATGCAATTTCATAGGTTCATGTGGTGCATGTAGTATGAGTAATCAAAACTTCATATCTATTCATAGCTGTAGATGGGCAAGCACCATGTCGTATGAGTGATTTGCTTACAAATTGGAAATTATTAAGTCTAAGTGGCCTATTTCTTATAATAGCAGATTCGTTCAGGAACCAAACGTGTTGAAGAAAAAAAAGAATAAAAAAGTGAAATAATAAAACCAAAGTAAAGTTTATAGCAATTTTAACGTTTCGTGCTAAATAACAGTGTTTAACAAAAAAAAAAAAAAAAAAATTACAAATATTTTTACTAAATCAGCACAAATCGAACCGCTAAATAGAAAGTTTTTGCAACTCCTCACCAATTGAAAGCACACCGTACTGCAACTGCTTTCCCACACAAAATGGCTTGGGGTTATTGGAGTGCCACCACAGTCGATCGTGGTCGTTCACCACGACGTAATACACAATGTACACCGCTCCCGGTGAATTTGATGCAACAGGATGAGGACAACAGTACTCAAACTGCTTCAGCAGCCGCAGCAGCAGTCAATAATAGCAAAACCGGTAACGGTGGTGGTGGCGGTGGCGGGGGCAATTCAAATACCTGCCCCAATACACCATCCGGTACACAAGCAAACCTCTGCTACAGCCCCACATGTCGTAGTCGTTGTAGTAGCCCCTGTCCGGGCAGTCCGTGTCCGGGCAGTCCATGCGGTTCGATTACACCACCACCGCCGCCACAATTAACATCATCACAACAACATTTGCATCAACATTCGAATAAGAATTGTCCGGCTGCACAGCAAATACTCAATCTAGATGATTATCCGTCGCGTCGGCAATCGTTGGATCGCCTGGACAGTCCGCAGGTAAGCGTTTTAAGTGAATATTTCTATCTTGGCAAGACATTATGATACACAAAAACACACAATAGCATATGTATAACTGTATATACAAATATTCAATTCCGAAAATCATTTTCATTGAACGCTGCATGGACTCACACATTCTTCATTGTCAACCGAATTTGGTGCCCATCGATCTGTTGATTTTGTCAACACCAAATGATTGGATATAAAAAAAATAAAATGAAAATAAAAATTTTTGGATAACAATCGATAATCTCGAATTCTACATTAAAATCATTGACAACTCATCACCTATTCAATGTTACGTAACGAACTTTCAGTCAAAATACTTTGATCTGCAGGCCAATCAACTGTCGGATATACTTTGCCGCGGCGCTGTCGTCTCATCCATACAATCGGCAAATAATACGTTGACACGCGGCGTCTCGCTACACAGTCGTAGCGGCAGCGCACACGGCAGCATTCATGGTGGCAGTCATCACGGCAGTTATGGCGGTGGCGTCGGCGGCACTGGCAGTGCGCATGGCTCTATGGGTTGTTTACAGGGCAGCATGGGTCATTTGATGGGTGCTGGTGTCGGCGTTGGCGGTGGCGCTAGCACCAGCGGCAGTGTTGGTATGCTCTCGGGCGCCATTGATACCGGCGATTATGACGTACCACATCCGCATCCCTACACGCATCATTATATGCAGACATCAACATCGATAACACCGCCACATTCCACAATGAGTTTAATCGGCTCACGACCCGGTTCGGCTGGCGCCGTATGTCCGGGTCATGATTCGGGCTCAGACTCTAGTCAAGGCTGTGGTTCGACAATGGGTGGCGGTATTGGCGTTGGTGCTATGAGTATAGGCAGTGGTCATGGTGCCCATATGATGGGTGGCGGAAGCGGCGGCGGCGTCATTGCCATGGGTATGGGCATGTTAGGCAGTGGCGGCGGTCATCATAGCGGTGGCAGCGGCTCGTTGGGACGCTGTTCTAGTCGTTGTCATAATACAATGAATACAACAACAAACACCACCACCACCACCACAGACGATTCGGGCGGTGGCAGCGGTGGTAGTGGTGGCAGCGTTTTTATCGGCGGCTGTCGCATGGGCACCGTCGCCAGTGGCGTTAGTATGGGTGTGGGAATAAGTGGTGTCGGCGTCGGCGGCGGTGTCGGTATGGGTATGGGCATGGTTGGCGTGGTGGGTGGCATGATAGAGAATCCACATCGTAGCAGCTTGCATGGCAGCGAGGGTAGCGGTTTGAATGTTTGCGGTATGGGCGGTAGCGGTGGCAGTGGTGGTAGTGTTGGTGGACGTAGCAGTACACTCGGCACTATACATAATGGCCATCATCATCATCAGTATCATCATGAATGTATACATTATGAGCGTCTACCTATACCTGTTCCTATACCGACTGTGCCAACACAACAACATCAACAGCAACATCAACAACAGCAGCAACAACAACAACATTTGCATTCCGAAGATGAAATCGAACCAGCCTATGCAACAGGTAAGTATTTCCAATGGCGTGGATGGCTGTGTGCGCCTCTACTTATATTTGTTTGTATGAGTGTAATTGAATTTCTATTCTATGTATGAGCGCTAGAGTCTATTTTGTGTGTGTATGTATGTGTATGTGTGAGAGCTGTTGTGACTATCTGTGATTTGTTAATTTACTCGCACGAGCCCAAGTGTGCTTTAAGTAAGCACGAGAGTGTAGTGCCATCAAGTATAATTGTTTAAGTATGTCCTTAACGATCGTATGTATGTATGTGCGTTTGCATAGTGAAATTTTATTTGCTAATATAGACAGTTATGCCGGAGAATAGCTACGTTTTTTTTTGTTCGAAAGGTTCTGCAGACGTATCAACGGTGGTTTTCCTTTGATTTTAGGAAGAGACCAGGATTTATTATTTTAAATTTTGATTTTTTTTTTTCAATTTTAATTTTTTTCTTTTCCTATATTTAATTTTTTATTTAATAAATTAAATTAATTTAAATTTACTTACTTTTATTCTATTAATATGTGTTTTATTTTATTCGTTATTTAACACTTTTTTAATTATTATGTTCTTTTTTTATTTTTAATCTCTCCAATTCTTAATAATTAAAATTTTTAATTTTTTTTGTTTTTTATTATTTATTTTATGTATATGATTTTATTTTAATTTATTTTGTATTTAATTTAATATTTTTTTATTCCATTATTAATTTGTTTTTATTTAATTTTATTTTAAATTATTATTTCTGTTTTTTTATTTAATTTTTTGTTTGTTTATTATTTTTTTGATTTTTTTAATTTTATTTGGAAAATTATTATTACATATATTTTATTTTGAATTTTATTTTAAAATATTGTTTTTTAAATATCAGGTGTACAACTTTGCTTCCGCCGTTTTTTTCCAAAATTAAAAGCTTTATGGCGAAAAAGTGCTTACAGATATATTATACAAAGTATTGTCCTTCGCTAGCGACAACTTTCTCCCATCTTTCCGGCAATTTTCGGATCTCGGCTCGAAAATAGGAGTCCTCTTTTGACGCTATCCATGAATCAATCCATTTTTCCAATTCTTCGAAGGATTGAAAATGCTGATCTGCCAGGCCGTGTGCCATCGAACGGAATAGGTGGAAGTCAGAAGGGGCGGCATCTGGAGAATACGGCGGGTGGGGCAAGACTTTCCATTTCAGCGTATCCAAGTACTTTTTGACCACTTTTGCGACGTGAGGCCGAGCATTGTCGTGTTGGAGGATGACTTTTTCATGTCGCTCTTGATATTGTGGCCGCTTTTCTTTTTAGGCCCAGGGCCTTGAGACGTTTTGAAATGGCTTGCTGACTCACTCTCAACAATTCGGCAAGCTGTTCTTGGGTTTGGCGCGAATCTTCATCAAGCAATGCTTCTAGTTGCTCATCTTTTAAGGTTTCTTTCTCTTCCACCACCATGTTTGTCTTCGACATCGAAATCACCATTTTTAAAACGTTGAAACCACTCCCGGCACGTTCTTTCACTCAGAGCAGCATCACCGTAAGTTTCTGAGAGCATTCAATGTGCTTCAGCTGCATTTTTTTTTTCGAATCGTAACAGAAAAGTAAAACTTCCCGCAAATGGCGAGAATTAGGCACATAAACGAACATTTTCTAGCGTGAATAATATGAAAACAAGAACAACTGTCACTGAAACGGCGCTGACAATTCGTTAGGCACTGTCCACACTCACTTTAAAGGCATTATCATCTATGTATTTCACCAAGCCTCAGCCGGTACAGCCACCTATCGGAAAACGGCGGAAGCAAAGTTGTACACCTGATATATTTATTGTTTTAGAATATTATTATATTTTGTTATATTTAATTTATTAATAGATATTATTTTAATTCTATCATTTCTTATATTTTTAATTAACTTAAGCATTCTATTCGACTTAATTTTTTAATTTATATTATTATTTTTATATTTTGAATGAATTTTTATTAGTTTTTTTAAATAATCTTTCTTAATATTTTAGTATTTTTTAATATTTTTTTGTTTTACTTATTTTATTTTATTTCATTGCACTTATCTTTAATTTAATACATTTAGTTTATTTTTTTTATTTATAATTTTTTTATTTGATTTTAGACCATATATTTATTTAATTATAATTTATTCTGGCATATTAATTTTATTTTTTACTTCAATTTTCGTTTTACTCAGCTTGTGTCTTGCGATAACAGATCGAATAGAAGATATGTCGCCATATTTAATTTGTTAAATATTTAAAAAAAAAAAAATGTCTGAACCAAAAGAGGGGTGTGATTTGCTTAAAATTGAGTCAATATATTTATGCACATAATTTCATAAGAACAGTTATTCTTAACACTCACCAGCTAATGCATAATTTATTGTTGTATTTAGTGGGTTACAAATACATAAACAAATTGTCTTTAATTAAAATTGAATTTTGTGTGCCGTCTCAACGCTCATTCTCTACTGCTTTTGTGCCCGTCACATACTCATATTTGTATGTAAATATGTATGTACATTTGTTGCTTTGTATTGACGACAATTTCATTTCATTATTTCATTGCTTTTTCCTTTTCTAATTGTTCTTGTTGCTTTTCTCCGCATTTTTTATCTGCTCACACATTTTTCGGTTGGGTTTATGCTCGATTATTGTCTCAATTGGAAAATAGTTCACGGGCAAGAACTCACAAGTTAACTTGCTTGTATCGTGCTCGCGTATGTGCGTCGAAAGGGCTGCAAAAGAAACAGCGGCAGAAGAAGTAGAATTTGTCAGCACTGCTTTGCACTCAGTGAATGAAATTCGTAAACAAAAAATTCTACATTTAAATAAAAGTGAAAAACAAAATTAAATGAAATTTTACTTTAAACTTCTTTGGGGAAAAAGTTTTGAGCGGAAAAAGTCAGAATACCGCAACAAACGCAGTGATCTTATGCAAAGAAAGTTAATAATAGCGAAAAGAAATATCTTATCAGTTATTGATTGTATTATTATTATTATTTTATGTGTTTCGAGTGGATCCGTGCCGGTTTTCCTCTTTATACTCGTGCACAAATTTAGTTTTATTTTTTTTTTTTATCTCTGCAAAGTAATTGTGTTAAAAAAAAATATTGAAAGCAAAAAAAATAGTGCTGCTTTTGGCGGTCATTACACCAACGCTGATGGGATTATAGTTCACGCACTCGCAACTCCAAAACGTCAATGATGATCATGTGGAGTGGTATATGTGAGGCTGCTTCTCTGTACGGCATACAAACGTCAACGTTCTTCATGAGTGGCGGTGGCGTCAGTTAGTATCTAACTATTATTTGGGGATATGTAACAGATAGTGAAATTAGCAAAAATAAACATGGAAAAAATGCAAAATTCCAAAACAAATTACAAAAAAATATTAAGAAAAAGAATACAAAAACTAATGAAGAAAATTAATTAGTAGAAAATCGATTAAATAAAAGATTTAATAAAATGAAATAAATAAATAAAATAAGAAAATAAAATAGAAAAAAAATTAAAAATCCAAATTTAAATTAAAAGTAAAATAAATATTGTAAATAAAATATAAAAATAAGGTGAAAAAATCAAATTAAACGAAAAAAAGTAAAGTAAACTAAAAAATTAAAAAGAAATATTAAAAAAATTATAAATTTATTAAAATGAAGAAAAATAAAATAAAACAAAATAATAAATAGAAAGCATTATAAAGCATCTGTTATTATTGACATGCATGCATAAAGAAATTATAAAATGGAATAAAATGAAATATCAAAATAAATGAAGAGATAAACACAATAAAAATAAATATATAAGATTACAAATTTTAAATAAGTGCAAAAAATCAATTATAATATTAAGAAATATAATATAATATGAACAAAAAATAATAAAATATAGATAAAAAATAATATAATATGAACAAAAAATAATAAACTAAAAATATTAATAAAAAATTAAAAATAAAAATATTTTTTTAAATGACTCAAAAATAAATTATTTATTTATTATTTGTGGTCTTAAAATAAAGTATTCTTACATACGCATATATGTATGTATATGTGAAGAAATGGACATTTCGACATTTTTTGATGAGCAATATTCTTTATTATGTTTGCTTTTCAATAAAGGTTTGAGTACAGTAACATTAGCTTCTTGCATTAATTCTTGTACTCCCTTCATTGAAAATTCTTTTCTTTACGACTCTTCTGCGAATTTCATTTCTTTTCTTTATAAAAAATTTTATGTTCAATAACTCAATGCGATTGAACCGGTACTAACCGGGTTATTTAAATACAAACGTTTATGTACACATACATATGTATATGCATAAACACATTCATACACACACGCATTTACATTCCGACCACGCTCCACTGCCATACATCAGCATCATTTCCATCTTATTCATCACTTCATCACTTTAGTCTCGCCATCTTAAACATAACATCTTAATTTAGACACTTGTGCAGACAATTACTTATTATTTGTTATTGATTTTTGTTGGCAGGCAAAACTTGTATGTCCCATAGAAAAAGACACTGCAACCACTTTTACGCAAAATTAGTTATTACTATATAAAAAGATTACTTTTAAAATCTATTATAGTGTATATTCACGAAAAAAAAGTGTCTGAACAAATTTTGAATTTTACCTAAAATATCTTGAAATTTCGTCAGGCAAGAAATTTCGGTTACTTTTGAGCAGTATCCTTATTCATGGGACGACTCTTGTTGTGTATGCTGTCATTTTGAAGATATCAATTAAAGTGGCAGTAAAATGTTTAACGCAAACGAGTGCTCCACATTCAAATATTGATAATTTGGACTAATTTAAATTTTCATTAAATTAAATTTCAATTTAGATTGGCTGATAATATCCAAACATACATACCGAAAATTACTAGTTCTGATTGGATAAATGGAATAGAAAAAATACGGGTTAATTGAAAGGTTTGGGATTAAAATAAATAGAAAATAAATTAATATAACAAAAAAGGGGGAAAAAATAAAAATAAAAA